CAGTGGAGGTTGAAATTAAATCATTAATAGACCATGTGAAGGCTAGACTTTCTAATAAATGAGCAAGGAATTTACAATGAACTTTTATAAAATTCTGGTGCAACACTGCTGATTTGTTAGTTATGCACAATTCTTGGATATATACATTGGGAAGGATGTGAAGCTTATGGAGAGGGGCAAAGATTCATAAGAATGGTTCCAGGGTTGAAGGATTTCAGTTCCATGGATAAACTGGCGAAGTTGTATTCTATTTCCTACAAAGTATTGAAGAAAAAAGGATGAATGTGTACAAAATCATGAGGGGTCTATAATCAGAGAGAGCAAGAAAGAAAATCTGTTTCTCTTAACAGAAAGGTCAAGGACTAAAGGAGACCAAAATCAAGGTGAATAGCAAAGTAACAGGAAAGAGTGGTAAAATGAGAAAAAAAAGCTTTTCTTTTAAAACACTGTGTGTTTAAAATCTTGACTCCAGTGCCTGAGAGCATGGAAGGGGCAGACTAAATTATAGTTGACAAAGAGGAACTAAACTTACCTCAACAGAAAATATCTGGAGGGCTACAGGCAAAGGGCATAAAAATGGAACCAGCTGCAATGCTTTTGCAGAGAGTAAGTAAAGATAGAACAGATCAGTTGGAAAACATAGGTGATTTACAGTTGGTGGTTATTAGATGAAAGAAGTATATCATGGGTGATTTGGTGATAGGAAAAAAAAGTAAAAGGTACAACAGATCAAATGGCCTCTGTGCTATAACCATTTGATACTTCTACAAACTGAATAAAAAGTATCAAACAACTTTAATTTCATGAATTAACTAGCAAAATGCAAATATTCCATTGATGAGAACGATAGATTCTTCTGCTGGTTAGTTAACAATATTAAAATGGTGAAACTTTAATCACATTAGCAACTTTACAAAAAGGGAAACACATTACATCTCAACATCATTGTGCTGAAGGCTTCCGAGTAACTTTCATATCAAAGAGGATTTCTTAATAGCACATAGAAACCAATTGCTGTGTGTCTAAAATCACACATAGGCCAGACAAGGCAAAGATGGTTGATTTCCTTGCCTAAAGGACATTAGTGAACCAGTTGGGTTTTTCCAAAACAAAAAAAAACAAAATCGACAACATGCATAGTCATTACTACGATTTTTAATTCCAGACTTTTTTCTTGAATTCAGATTCCAACAACTACCATGTCAATTCTCAAACTCAGGTCCCCAAACATTTCCTGGATCTCTGAACTAATAACCTCACTAGGCCACTGCTTCCCCTTATAAATCATTTTCCTACTTTTTCTGGATGTTGCTGGTAAATTCTAACTAGAGGGACTAACTTTTAAAACTAAAATCATAGAATTGCAGACCAGGAGGCAAAGGTGATCGTGATCACCCACATTATACTGAATAATGTTTCAAACAGGTTATTTAACAAGCTGCCTGTTAACATTGCAACATTGAAAAACAAGGAAAGAGATGGATATCAGATGAAACCACCACCACCACCAACCCCCTGCCCCATCGCCCCCTAAAACATATATTGGCTGAATTGTACAACAGATTTGCACAAAAATGAGCTGTAATCTTTAAGTTAGGTTGCTAATACAGAATATACAGCCAAAAGCATGGTGACCCTTGGGTTGGCAATGCCCCAGCAAGCAACTGCCCACTCACCTCACTATCGTTAAGTGTAAATTTACTTTCTCCTTAGCCTTACTTCAACAGAAATTTCTTTTAGGTGGATATTTCCTGGTTGTTCAGCTCCGTAAACCTCTCAAGGACAAAAATATTTTTATAACACAGTAATGCTGCTGAGATTCAGTGCCCTCCATTCAAACAGTACATTGGAGTTTGAACATACTGGTCAACCTGTGATCACATAAAATAAAATACAAGAACCTTCTGAAAATAAAATTAGTTGACCAACAGTACAGCAACAGATTACAGGTGCAATTTAACACAGTGGCTGCTTGTACTTTTGTGGAAATAGGTGCTTTATAATCTCAATCTCATTCATGTCTGTATTACCCATAGCTTTGCATTCCTGGCTGACCTCCCTTCTTTCACCCTCCTTCAACATTAACTCATTCAAAGGTTTGCTGCACACATCGCGATGTGTACCAATTCCTATTTAACCACGACTCCCCTGCTCACTGATTTATAATGAGACTTTGCCAGAATAGGATTTATCACCAGGATGCTGTGTAAAGATGCTGAGAATAACATTATATAATCATCAGGCTGTGAAGGTGTATACAAATACTTGATTACTGCAGCGGTTTTGTGACATCATTGCACAATTCCCAAGGAAATTTTACAACCCAAATGGGAAAACTACAGACAAAGAGACTTCTGTATTTCACAACAACAACTTGCAGTTAAATAGCACATTTAATAAATTAAAAACATCTCAAGTCACCTCTCAGGAGTGTCAAACACAATCTTGATACCAAGTCATCCAAAAAATTAGATTGGATGACCAAAAGATTTTCTTTCCCTAATGTCTTAAAGGAACAAGAGGCAAAAATAGGGAGTGGTTTAGGAAGGGAATTGCCAAGGCAGCTGAAGGAACAATAACTAATGGTGCAGCAATTAAAACCGAGAATACAAATTACAGTAAAAGGAGTGTAGACATCTCAAAGGGTTATAGAGCTAGGGATGGCTTTAACAGAAAGGGAGGGAACAAGGTCATAGAACATGGGAATTTTAACATTGGGGCTTTGCCAGAATGGGCACCAATGTAGGTTAGTGATCACAAGTGTGATGGTTAAATAGGAGTTGGCACACATTGCAACATGTGCAACAAAACTTTGAATACGTTTGTATTTGATGAGCGTGGAGGAAGATGGAAGGCCAGCCAGATGTGTACTGGCGTTGTCGAGTCTATGGGTAACATAGGCATGAATGAGGGTGTCAGCAGCAGGTAAACCAAGACTGGGCAAAGTTGGACAATTTACCGAGGTGGAAATAGCCAGTCTTATTGATGGTGCAAGTACATGTCCAGGAGGTCCTCTCAGGAAAAAAGAACCCAGTTTAGCTTTTTCCTGTTAGTGAGAGAGAGAGAGAGACCACGAGAGAGCGAGCGACAGCGTTGGACAGTTAGGGAATAAAGTTTATAGCAGGAACCAAAGAATGGTTTCCCATTACTTAGTCACACTGAGTTTCTAATCAATCAGCACTTAAGTTGCATGGCAATCCACAGAAAGAGGAAGGGTTGAGAGAGGCAGTACTGCAGGTAGAACTGGATGTCAGTGTACATGTAGAACTGAATTCACATTCTGATGATGTCATTAACAAGCAATAATGCAGAGGGGAAATAGGAGGGGGTGATCAAAGATAGAAATCTGGGTAATCCCAGAAGGAATGCTATGGGAATGGGAAAAGAAGCTATTGTGATTGATATATATGTAATTGTAGCCAAAGTAAGAAAGTAACCAAGCAAGGTAGTGTCAAAAGAATAAGATCAGCCATCTTAAAAGCTGCAGATAAACTGACAAGGATGAAACGGATGGTTTACCACTTCAGAAAAGATTTACCAGGATGCTGCCAGGATGGAGGGTTTGAATTATAAGGAGAGGCTGGGACCTTTTTCACTGGAGTGTAGGTGATTGACAGATGACCTTATTGAGACTTATAAAATCATGAGTGGCATAGATAAGGCAATAGCAAGCATCTTTTCCCTAGGGTGGGGGATTTCAAGACGAGGGGTCATATTTTTATGCTGAGAGGAGAAAGATGTTAAAGAGACATGAAGGGCATTTCTTCCACAGCGGTTCATGTGTGGAATGAATTTCCAGAGGAAGTGGTGGATGCAGATACAGTTACAACTTTTAAAAGATATTTGGATAAGTACATGAATAAGAAATGTTTGGAGGGATATGAGTCAAATACAGGTAGGTGGGATTGATTTAGTTTGAGATTATGGTCAGCATGGACTGGTTGGACCAAAGGGTCTGTTTCTGTGCTGTATACCTCTATGATGTGATTTTGATGATGACCATCCACACCACATAATTCCACGCCATCACAAGGAAGAAAATCTGATTCAGGAATTCAAACACGAAGTTCTGGGAAAGATGAGCATAATAGGAGACATGTTCAAAGAATTTTCAAAAATGTCAGTGCCATGTATATGGCTGATCACAGAAAACGGAAAGTTTACAAACAAGCTACTTTGATCACCCCGAGCCACATATTACAGATATTTTCAAATCAGCCTGTTCAAAAAAGGAATTACACACCTCCGCAGCAGATGGGAGGTATTACACAGTCTTCCTGGCAGAGGAAGTTCTGGATACAGAAGAAAATGGTGGAAATGGGGACGTCCTCCGTTCCCCAACAGCGTTCACTACATCTAAAGTGTAAAACTAACACTATCGAAGGAAGCAACGCTTTGAAATCAAAGAAGCCTTTCAATCTGGTCCAGTTATTGAGAATGTATGTGCACATGTGTGGGAGGGGTCAATCCTAAACTTTTAAAACGAAAGAAATTCGGATTTAGAGAATGCTAATCACATCCTCAGAATTTCTCCATACTTCCGAAGTTCAATCACTGTAGAGCGCTAGACAAACGTTCCAACCATTCTGAACACGAGTGAGATAAATGTACTATTTTATTGATGTTTGATACTGAAGGTAGCCAACATTCCAAAACAATAAAGACAAAATATTAAGCTAGTCAGGGAATTCTGCACAGCAGTGTCAGATGCCCTGAAGTCTCGACAAAGTGGTGACAGACAAGCTCTCTCCTAGCCGGGGAGTTGGAGGCAGGCAGGAAGCATGAACCTATGTTCAAAGCTATCCAGTGAGCCATAAAATCTAATGACTAGACAATCCCGAATCAGAGGTGAAACTGGCCACCTCTCGGTTCAATTTTAATGAGTTGTTCCGATAAATCTTAAGATCTCAAGTTTAAAATCAAAGAATCTCTTTCTCTAATCATAGATTTTCTTTTAATTCTGTTTACAAACAGCTTTGGGGGTGCTATGGCTATCCTACCTTGAATTCACGGCTGAGCTGCGGAGTGTATTCTGAAGTCCAGAGTGCTCGGACCAAAGAAGCGAGCTGTTCAGTGACTTCTCCTCTCTGGTCCGCCTGGGTTTTCGATCGGAAGAAAACTCCGTTGGATTTGGAAGTTTTGTCCAGCTCTTGCTCGTCCTCTGCCTCCCGGCTCGGGGTCTCTGTCCCCTCGGGGGCATCGAGCCAGCCGGGCGGCCGCTCCCGGTACTGCTCCAAAGCCAAGAATTCGGCGAAGAGTTCGGTGTTGCTCAGACACTGAAGCACAGCGTTCATGAAGCAGGTGTTGCCGTGGTTCTTCAGGCCGGCCACGCCGGGGGGCTGCCAGCGCTCCCCGGAGAAACAGCTTTCGGACGAGTCGCTGTGGCCGGCAGCGGCGGCGCACCGACCGGCAGCAACAGCGGCCGGGTTGATGCCGCTCATCATCATGATGATGGAGGAGGCCGAGGAGACCACCCCGACTCCCGGCCCCAGCCCTATGCCTAGTCCCATAGCCGCGCCGGCCTCGGCCGCTCGGAAGTTCTTGAAGCCGCCGTCGTCCTTGTCGTCTTCAGCCGCCTCCTCGGTACCGAAGTGCGAAAGGGTGGACAGTGTCTTCAGCACCCTATTCATAAAACTCCCGACCGACCGTGCCGAGCCCCGCCGGAAAAGTTTCTTACTAAAGGACTTTTTCTCCTTAGCTACCGCCTTAGACATGTCCCCAACCTCCTCCAAAACAGTCGCTACAAGGAAAAGTTGTACGATGGATTAGAGATCCAACACCCCCAAAAAAGTGCAACTACAAGAACGCTTAATTTGTACTTGTTTTTACATTGCGTTAAAAAAGTAAACCAATTGTTTCATTTGCAGTTTGAGAAAATGCATTTTTTTTTCCAAATTGCAGTTTGAAAATGTTTTAAACTTGCGATTTTTTTTTTAAAAAACTGTTGTTTTTCCCAAAAAAAGAAGCAAAGCAACGATTTGTAAAATGCAAAAAAAAGAGACTTTCAAAGATGCAAAAGAAATCAATGGGAAAGTGTTCAGATTTGCAATGCAGTAATTCAAATGGGCTGGGGGTGTATTTCAAGGCGATCTTTCCAATGGATGGATGTTGTTGTTCAAGTTGTGAGGGTGAACTTGCAGCGGCCCCGGGGTGTCGAATGCGCGTGCGCCCCGGCCGGCTGCCCGACCCCGTGCTGACCCCCGGCGCTGCTGCCGTCCGCCTCAGAGAGGCGCTCGATCCATGAGGCGCCGCTCGGCTCGGCTACCCGGCTTTCTCCTTCGGCCGGGGATCGGGATCGACATCGACATGGCCCCTGCAGCCGGGCGGAGTCTGTGTGGGTTTGTGTATTTCTCTCTCTCTCCCCCCCTCCCTATGGTCGTTTTCCTTCGCGAACGGTTCTCTCGCTCAACCAGACTCGAGATTTACTTCGATCCTCTAGAAAGCTGTCGGCCTACAAGCCGACCGTCGGAGCCCACGCTCCGTGCCCGGCTCATTCTTCGCCCCGAGACGCCGGTGTGTGCCGAAAGCCACAAGTCACCGCCAGCCAGGCCTTTCCGCCCAACCGTCCTCCTGAACCATCGCTGGGGGCGGGACCGCTCCCCGTTGGGCGGTGTCCTACGACCTTTCACCATGACAACCACCGCGTCCTCACCCACCCGCCACTCTGATTGGCTTCTATTACTGTACCTGTGCTTTTGATTGGGTACAAATTATGTCACTCACCTGCCCCGCCCTGCGGCATTGAGTTGAAGCAGTTTAAAGGGCGAGGGACATTCCTTTAAAGGAGAGGGCACATTGTGGAAAAACGTTTGACAACATTGTTTTCCTGCATAAGATCGTAAAGATTCTTTATTCAATCCATGCTACGATGCATCACAATCTGCTCCTCAGTTTCTGGTTCTGTTTTCTTCCCAAAAATCATGTGTTGATTTCTCAACAACAACATGCACTAAATGTATGATCTTTAACGTCGTAAAAGCATCATTCAAAATTGGGCATTAAGTCAAATGAAGAGATTTTAAATAAAAACAGAAAGAACTGCGGATGCTGTAAATCAGAAACAAAAACAAGTTGCTGGAAAAGCTCAGCAGGTCTGGCAGCATCTGTGAGGAAGGATCACCGGACCCGAAACGTTAAATTTAATTTTTTTTCTTCACAGATGCTGTGAAGAGATTTTATGACCTCGGAGCAAAACTTGGTCAAATTGACATGAGTTAACAAGTGCCTTAACAGTGTAGAGTAAGATAAAGAAAGCCCGAGGGAGGGAATTCCAGCGCTTGGAGCCTACACAGCTGAAAGATGCTGCAAGATAAATGATCGCTGTAGCTCATAGGGTCATAGAGATGTACAGCATGGAAAGAGATCCTTCAGTCCAATTTGTCCATGCCAACCAGATTTCCTAAATTAATCTAGTTCCATTTGCCAGCATTTGCCCCCATCCCTCTAAATGGTTCCTATTCATATGCCCATCCAAATGTAGTAATTTTACCAGCCTCCACCAATTCCTCTGGCAGCTTATTCCATAGACGCACAAACCTCTGTGTGAAAAAGTTGCCCCTTGGGTCCCTTTTATACCCTTCCCCTCTCACCCTAAACCTATGACCTCTAATTTTGGACTCCCCACCCTGGGGAAAAGCCCTTGTCTTCTTACCTTATCCACGTGCCTCATGATTTTATAAACTTCTATAACGTCACCCCTCAGCTCCAGAGAAAAAAGCCCCAGCCTATTCAGCCTCTCCCTATAGCTCAAACCTTCCAAACCCTGGTAACATCCTTGCAAATCTTTTCTGAATCCTTTCAGGTTTCACAACATCCTTCCTATAGCAGGGAGACTAGAATTGCATGCAGTATTCCAAAGGTAGCCTAACCAAAGTCCTGTACAGCCGCAACATAACCTCCCAACTCCTATACTTAATGCACTGACCAATAAAGGCAAGCATACCAAACACCTTCTTCATTATCCTATCTACCTGCAACTCGACTTTTAAGGAACTATGAACCTGTCCCCAAGGTCTCTTTTATCAGCAACATTCCCCAGGAACTTACTGTTAAGTGTATAAGTCCTGCCCTGATTTGCCTTTCCAAAATGCAGCACATCACATTTATCTAAATTAAATGCCATCTGCCACTCCTTATCCTGGTGTAAACTCTATATGACAGATTTTCTTCCATCGTTCTCTTTCCTGAATGTGATCTTGCAAGACCTGTTGAGCCTAGTGTAGATCTAGAGCCTAGTGCAGAGTAGATCTCAAAACTGTGTGACCATGGTTTTGACTCCACCCTCTGCAATTGGATCCTCAGCTTTCTGACCCATCGGCCACAATCAGTGAGGATAAGTACTTGCACATCCTCTACAATAACACTCAACACTGGAGACCCCTAAGGATGCGTCCTCAGCCCCCTACTGTACTCCCTGTACTCCTACAACTGTGTTGCCAAATTCCGAACAAATGCTATCTACAAGTTCACTGACAACACCACTGTAGTGGGACAGATATCTCGCAAGAACAAGTCAAAATATAGAAGGCAGATAGAGGGCTTGGTGACATGGTGTAATGAAAACAATCTGTCTCTCAACACTGGCAAAACTAAAGAACTGATCATCGACTTCAGAAAGAAGAGAGGAGAACGTACGCCAACAGAACTGTGGTTGAGAGGGTGAAGATTGCCAAGTTCCTCAGAGTGATGATAACTGAAGACCTCCCCTGGACTTCCCACATAGATGTGACAGTCAAGAAGCTACAACAATGCCTCTTCTTCCTCAGGCAGCTCAGGAAATTTGACATGTCCATAAGGTCCCTCACCAACTTCTACAGATGCATCATTAAAAGCATACTGTCCGGTTGCATAATGGCCTGGTATGGCATCTGCTCTGCCCAGGACCGTAAGAAATTGCAGAAGGTGATGTGCACAGCCCAGACCATCACGGAAGCCAACCTTCTATCCATGGACTCTATTTACATGGCTCGCTGCCGTAGAAAGGCAGCCAACACCATCAAAGACCCATCTCACCCTGATAATGACCTCCTACAACTTCTTCCGTCAGGCAGAAGCAGGTTCAGGAACAGCTTCTTTCCAGCTGTTATCAGACTGTTGAATGGACTCTAGCCTCAAATAATATAACCTGCAATGTAACCTGTATGTCTCTAAGTCTTTTTGATCTGTACATCCTTTGCTTGCTGTGATCTGCCTATATCGCTCGTAAACAAAGCTTTTCACTGTAATTCGGTACTTGTGACAATAAAGTCAATCAAATCAAATCAGAATTTAACCACATGGTTGTCTAACAGGGAAAGATATTTTATTGCATGATAACAGCTAGGTACAAGTTGCGTTGGTATAATAGAAATTTTACTGAAACTATGAGACGACCTCAATGGTAGGTTTTACACCTTACACCTTACATTGGCAGTGCTTAATGCACTCCTAAGCATTAACTCTTTCAGGTTATCATCCCTGCCATGCCCCCAAACTATTTTCTCATTATTAACATTATACGTATGTGTATATAAATACATTTACTACCAACTCATCTCCCCGAAGTCCCTGATTTCATAAATTCAACAGTCTAGAGGTTTCACTATCCTCCCAGAACATGTTATCTCCAGACTTAGAAGATTTTTAATTGAAAGCTGTAGCCTTTGGGCTGAATTTTCCCTCTTTTGGCAGTGTTTTTTAGGTTGAGATTCATAATGGGCAGTCACCTTGGTTTACGTTGACTTTTGTCATACATTCTTCCTTTCTTCACCCCATTAATTATGCAAGCAGCCTCTATGTGCCCAGTTCGTGGAATTGTGCAGCAGGAAAGGCAGTGGTACTCGCCATTTGTTGGAACTTATTGACGTTCGAGCTCTGGCACCATATTTAAACCTCAGCTCCATAACACAACAGATGCTGCAAGCCAGGAATTGGCATTCATACTCTAGTTCTGAACTATTATCCTGAACAATATTGTCCGGAAAGGCAAGTTAGCTCCTTGTTTTGCCAGCAGAGACCTGGAGGTGCTTGTGAAAATGATAGTCAAAAGAGGGGAGTTTTTTTTTACTGCTGACCGGCAAAGACAGCTACGCTACCAAATGCAGCCAGCCTAAATCAGGTCAGTCTTGTGTCCCAGGTTAAAAGAAACACCCAGCCATGGACATAAGAGTAAGTGTTACCATCTTCTCTGCTACCTCACATTCACACCACTATTCACTCTAACACTACCAGTGCATGTTCCTCTCAGAAGGCTCAAGGATAACAACTCTCACATTGCATGCATCATTCAGTGCCTCACAACCACCTCATTCTGTTCTTTGAGTTTCCTACTTGGTGAAGACATCTATACTACCCCAGCATGACCACTAATACCTCTCCCATTTACCTCCTTGATACTCAAAACTTCCCTTTGTGACATTGCGGGAAAAATTTCTCACAACTGGGTTGAGAAGCTGAAGACTGGCAGCATGGCAAGTGGGCATTAGGTTCCTCACCCCCGGGAAGAAAAAGTGCCGGGGTGAAATGTTGGTCTGGAGATGCAAGATCTTCATTAGCAACCAACCAAGTGAGCTTGATCATGCTGTGCTGCACTATTCTTCCATTACCGACAGTGCTAGCTTATTCTTATCCTGAACAAGCTTGTAGTCCTTCTTTACAACTAACTTCAACTCTTGTCTTATATAGGCACCTATGGGACTCAGTGATCCACCAGGAGAAAGAGACCAATACTGGAAACCCTCCACCTCTGAGTAGGAAGCCACT